TCTTTTCTCTTCTATCCCTCTCTCTCTCTCTTTTTCTTCCACCCCTCTCTCTCTCTTTCTTTCTTATTCTCTCCTCCCTCCGTCTCTCTCTCTTCTCTTTCTCTTTTTTTCTCTCTCCCTCCTTCCTCCCCTCTCTCTTTTTTTCTCTTTCTTCCCCCTTCCTTCCTCTCTCTCTCTCTTTCACTCTTTCTCCTCCTCCCCTCTCTCTCTCTCTCTGTCTCTCCTTCCCACACTCTTTCTCTTTCTCTCCCCTCCTTTCTCTTTTTTAATTAAAAGTCTGCCGTGGTCTTTATGTGTTATATGTGTGTGTACGCACGCGTGTGTGTACGTTCTTATCGGTGCACATGTGTACGTTAATGTGTATTCGATATAGTCTAAGGTTCTGGGAGTTGTGTTAACATAACATCAAGTATATTTGTAAATAAGTCCATGTAAGTGCTTGTATGTCAAGAAAAAACGAAGAAAAGAGACAAACGAATACGCATTGAAAAGAACGAAAAGAAAGAAAGAAAATAAAAGAAACTAAGAAAGGAAGTAGAGAAAGAGGTAAAGAAAAAAGAAGAAACAAAAATATTTATGCATATACATACACACTTATACATGTATGCGTGTATGTATTTATAGATAATGTATAGTTCCACCTTTACGTAGTCGACATACATGAAGGTGTGGGTGGGCGGGGGGGGGGGAGAGGATTTAAACGAAGGTCAACTTCTCTTACACTTAAACACGTGCCTATAATAAAAAAGGAAAATGAAAATAAAAAAGAAATCAAAATTTTTGGATTCCCCTGTTACATAAGCCATACCTTTCGTCCCCTTTCTTAAAATCTCCCCCTCCTCCCCCTATCTCCCACCCCCTCCCCCCACACTCAGAATCTTTCACCCCAAAAGATTTCCAAAAAGTAAACGTTCACGAGTTACAAAAGACGGCGGTTTTCTCTTCGTCTATGCTATTGTATCTTTCAAAAGAGGGTTCGATAGTCTTTCCCGCCTAAGACCTTCGGGATCGGATACTATGAAAATGGCGCGTGTCCAGAAATACCCTTGTAGGTTTTATTAAAATCGTTTATTGTTGGGTTATTGTCATCTATCTTTTGCTGTTATCATTATTTTTAATATTGGGTTTGGATACATAGTTTTTTTTTTATTTGTTTATGTTGTTAAAAGTTGAAAATATGTAATGTATTTCACTACGCAGATTTACACCCATATTTTTTTTATTTATTTATTAAATTCAACAATATGTAACCTCAGGACCATTGCCAATAATAGCGAAAATAATCATAATATCAGTGACCATACTGGTCAAAGTATACTATTTTTGGCGTATTATCAAACAGCTTTGGTACGTTTGAGTTTTTTTTCTTATTTGGTAAAAAAAATCCGGTTTGGCTTTTTCTTCAAGATACTTAACTTTATTTCTCAAAATTACATAAGCTTACTTGAATGTCTCCGTTGTCTTCTAAACTCTCTTGGATTTAGTACCACCTTTTCAATGATTTTCCAGAAATTTGTAAACGAAGAATCCTTCATTTTCGTGCATTTAAACAATGTATATACTCTTTTGTATATTTTTGTTTATTGACCTATACATATTATCATTGCATATTCACGTTTTTCAAGTACTTTCATAGACCTACTGCATTTTATCAATACATACCTCCTATTTTATGCAATATTGCACTGACCAACCAACCAACCTTTACGTATTTTTTCACTGACCTACCATATTTCTCCTCCCTCATGCCCTAGAAACCCACCATGATGCCCTCAACGTGGACAACGACAGTGCTCATCATTGTGGCCGGGTCGGTGCTTACGGAAGGCGCCACTACCCCTGTTCGATCACCCTCCTCCCTCGCCAGGTTCCTCGCTCCTGTCGTTAGGCATCGGGTAAATTGTTTGATCTGTTTATCAATTTGTTGTATATGATTAATGTATTGTATGTTGTTTGGTCTGTTCGATTGTTGAGGTATGTATGTAGTTCCTTTTTTAATGGGCTATTAGATGGGTGAGTTTTGTATGTATCTTTTTTTTTTTAAATAATGTTTTGTGGGAAGTGATAATGGTTTATGTGTCGTTGAACTATTCTCAATTGTCTTTGTTGTGAGAAGAGTTTATTACTATCACTGTCCTAACGCCCTTCCCTCCTCTCCCCCCCTTCCCCCCAGCTCGAGGAAGGCCGCCTCCCCCCCGCCCTGGTCGAGGAACTGGTGGCCGACTTCGAAGACCCCGAGCTCATGGACTTCCACGACGCCGACAAACGCCAGTTCGACGAGTATGGACACATGAGGTTCGGCAAGCGCGCTGGTGGCAGCGGTGGCGTCGGCGGCGAGTATGACGACTACGGCCACTTGCGCTTCGGCAGGAGTCTCAGCACCATGACCACGTCAGCAGGCAGCAGCAGGAGCAACAGCGGAGACAGCAACGACCGCTACAACCACCACCACCACCACTACCACCAACTGGACGCCTCCGCTTCCTCGCGAGGGCACTAA